CGCAGAACGACTGAGAACGGGAGACGTTTCAGACGCGCGCTCCACTTCACTTCAGCACCAGGCGCGAGTCAAGCGAGCGTGGAAACGGTACTGTGCTTGCAGCGCGTGCTCTTCAATTGCACGCACAAAGGCGCCGGCGCGCGCTGTAGCCTGTATCCTTTCATATCCAGGGCCGTATTTACGCATAGGCATTCTAGGCACGTACCTATGCTTGCTCGTCCAGGGTGGGCCCAAACACAATGAAGATATAGGCTATATAATATTTTTGTTATACTATGGGATATCTACAACAGTGTATCATTAATACTGGCCTTCAGTCATAAAAAGATGCCATTAAACAAATATTTAAAAATATACTGTCTTTATGTAATTTGTACATTAATTTGAAGATAGAATGTGAAATTATTGCATTATAAAAGTATATTTAAAAACTTTAAGTTAGTAGTTTGTTATACAAAAGCTAATATGCATATACTACTGCTAATATGTCTACATGGTACATATGTCATACATGTCAGGTTTTTATATATTTTATTTATTTGTTTGTTTCAATAAACCATTGATATAACAAAAAATATCACAATAAAGTACATTTTAAATATATTAAAATATAATATATAAAATGGAACATATTACTATATAATTTAAAATGTAATAATATTTCACAATGACCAAATAAATGAGTCTAAGTGAGGATGAGATACATAAAAAAACAACATTAAAAAAGTTACCATATGTGTAATATGTGTTATGTTTTATACAGAGTTGTAACGAATCAGTCCACTGAAGGCGAGCGTAGTGAAGAACCCAAGTGCAGTTTATTACACAAGGCAGAGAGACATGAGGCAAGGGAAGCATGACACTAACAGCAGGAATCAATTACAAAATAAAAGACATGGAAAACAGGAACATGAAACAAAACCCAAACACCAAACCCCACATTACAAGAGTATTCTTCTATTTCAATTTCAATACATAAACATATGTACACATAAAACAACTTTATCTGTATATAACTCAAACGATATTGATGAACAGCAGCTCTGCAATAAACTAAATGTTTTGCAACAACTGCAAAATGAATGAAATGTTACTGTAAATACTGTATTTCTGCTGTCAAACTAATTGAAAAGAAAGAAGGTTATGTTAGTGTAGCTGTTTTTGCTTTCTCGCAAAACTGGTTTCTATATGAGATTCTGTCCGAGGTCACCTACACAAGCACAGATAATTACACTACAGCATTTGTTTGTGTGTGCGTTTTGAGTCTCTTATGAATTTATTTTATGTTTTGTTGAATAAACTAGTGGTTCTTTTGCATCCTATTATCTTTCATGATTTATTTTATTTATTTATTGGACATTTTATATAATTAAGACTTCTTCAAAGCATGTTTTTTTCTTGCCGTAGGGAGGAAGGCGATGGTGTGTCTGTGTTGATGAGATGAGGTGATTTGTCTCTGAGTTCTTCAAAGATCTGCTGCTCCGTGTAGAAGCTATAGGCTGCCAGCCAAAGCAATCTCTCTCTGAGCGTAATCCACATCAGGATACTGAAATAATGCCGTCGCAGGTGGGCGGCGGACTTCATTAAGTTCTGAATATTGCAATTCTCTTCACATTATGATGTGTCCTACATATTTGAGTCCCCAAACCACACAAATGTGGCTTAATCCAATTTGAACATTAAAGCGATGGATTGGGTCTGTAAAATTCAGAATTAAGCCCACTTTGCTCGGCTGATTCGCATTACAGCGCAAACCAACAGACATTGTATTACAGCTCAATTGCTGTGCTCGTCTATTTATGTAAAGCACAGCGCCCACTCTATAATAAGTTTGAAATATGCTGCATTTCAGGGAATAGTCAGAATGTTCCAGAAAACCTCAAAAACTGAAAAATTATTTGGAAACAAACAACTTTATATGTTATTATTTGCAAAACTTGTGCTGGGCTTCACTAAATTGACTTTAAATGAGCTAAATTAATTGAAAACTCAATTCTTAATAGCAATCCCCCTACACCCCAATATAATATATGGATATATATTAAATATCCATGTATGAAATACATTGTCTTATTAAGTAAAACCAATATACATATCGTATATATATATATATATATATATATAGCTCATAAAAGTTTATGCATGTGTAATGCATTTTTTAACATATGTCATGCACATGTATATGAGCCATCCTAAAACCCATCAATTCATGTTGATATTATGTAAGTAAATATGAAAGATAGACATGTATTTGAAAACAAATATTACAAAAACATATATGAACATACACATTTATTCTAATTTGTTACATTGTTTATTTGAGATTAAGTTGTTATAGTATTTTCTTCTTTTTCTATTATTATTATTATTATTATTATTATTATTTGTAAATACATTCCAAGCGTTGGCAATATTGTATTGATTGCAATCATGCCAGTAAAGCACTTGTGTATATACATTTTGTGTATATACAAAAATTTACATTTTTCTTGTCCTTTCTTTGTCCTTACTGATGAGGTGATTTTAGGGGTCATTTGAGTTTTAAAGGGTCCGTCTCAGTGCCAATGAGAGCGAGAGGCTGAGTAACTGTAGCTGTCCACAGACTCACACTTACAAAGGTCAGACATCAGAGAGCCGTTCCTTATTCACACATCTTCATCAGGACACCTGCAGCTCAAAGTGTCTCAG